TTCAAAATAATATTTCAAAACCAGAATGCAAAATCTATGTATTTTATCCAACCCCATTCAGAGACAACCCAATGACGCGTTAAGGCAAAAGTTACAAATGACAAAGTTTCTTTAACTGTTTGCACTTATTACATAGTAATTCTATTTCTATATAATATTCTATATAGCTTCTGTATTTCTATATAGTTGCTATAGAAAGGCAGGCAACCCTTTGGGAGCTAGGCTGTGACCTGGCATTTCAGTCTTAATCCTGGAGGCACGTGAACCCCGAGTCTGGCCCCCGAGTCCAGAGAAGAGCTATATGGAGAGAGGATTATGCAGCCCGCAGAAATGACAGGCTAGAAAGAAAGCCAATAATCCCTTTTCGGCATTTCATCATTGGCCATATCCCCTCTCTTGCCTTTGAACTTGCCTCAGTTGAAGAAAATGAATAACAGCTCCAGACTTGTCAAAATACCTTGGGCTCCTTGGTCTGCTTTTAATTTGTTGGAATGTTGGCCGGCGCAGACCGGCTCGCCAAGGAGGAATGCCTTTGGCCGTGGCCAGAGCTCAAGTGCACTGGCCAGATGCTTTAGGCTGGCTGGGAGTTTGGTGATGACCCAAATTAGTCAGGCCTGGCTCTGCACTTCTCAAGTAGGATGGCCATGGGGCTGGCTTGGGAGAACTGTTGAGATTTATTATTATCTGGCTGCAAGCCTGCACTGGGAAGAGAAGGCCTTCCCAGTGCAGCCCACACGGGCAAGAAACTACTCCGATGCAAGGGGCTGGTGCGGGTTGCAAGGGGAGAGGAAGGTTTGGGGCTGTAGCTCGTCGATGAGGAAAGGAGGAGAAAGGCATCCCAGACAAACCTGGGCGCATAAAAGTGAATTGCTGTCAGGCAGGACTGGTGCAGGGGAGGAGAACGCAAAGGAAGGTCGGGAAGGACCTCGTGTGCCATTGAGAATACTTTCATCTCTGTTGTTTAGACTCCGGACTAACAGAGGAACCCCCCCAGCAAGGGACCGCTTCTTCCAAAGGACCCCGAGTTCTCTCCCCCCCCCCCCCGGGCACCCTTGGTATTGCATGCGCATGAGAAGTGAGGGCCCTGGGAAGTAATTAAACGAAACGTAGTCATTTGCTGGCAGGGTGAACATGTAATTAACCACCCAACTCCAACACTTCAGGGTGACGAGAGCACCCATTAATAATTAGGCCGGACACAATTTGCCCAGACCTGTCTTGGGCAAACCAGAATGTTCGGTCACCCCTATTTTTTGAACCTAGGTACTGGGCATTGCGATAGGGTCTTAACTCAGCTCATTATTTCCCCCAGGACTCCAGTAATTAAGTGTAATAATTTCCATTTGACCAGCCGTGATGAGTCTTGAAAGTAGAACTAGCATCCTTGTTTGCGTTCCTTTTGCAACTCCAGAATCTTCCTCTTCCAGCCTCGTGTATAAAAAACCAACCAACCAACCAAAAAAAAAAAACAAAACAAAACCCAAAACCCCTGTGTTCTTGCCCAGGGCACCCAGCTACTTCTCTGTGCGTCCCTTCTCCGCAGTCATTGGCACCTACCTGACCCTGCCTTCCCAAATTAAAGCTTTGGCACTTGAGACTTCCCCCCCCCGCCCCAGGTCCCACTGTCCCTTCGGTAGATTCTGAAATCGAATGTGTAAGCCCAGGCGGGCTTCAGCCCCATGTTCTCCTGGCCACTTCTCCCTCCCACCCCAGACCTCACTGTGCCCCAGTCACCCGCTGCCGGGACCAAACCCTGGCCATGCAGAGTCCCGCTGTCCTCTCACCTGCTTCTGCCCCTGCTGCCTGCTCCTGTCCATCCCCCAGACCAGCCCTCCAACACCTTCCTTGTCCCGGACACTGCGGTGCCAGTAAAGGTTCAGCCTGCTCTGCGGGGCAGTCATGGGGGCCTGCACGCAGGTACATTTACTACAAACGGACTGACGGGAAGCGTAGGTGCCACACAACTTCCACGTAGTAAGATGCACAAGTACTCTGTGAATTCTACCAGGCCAATTGGTTCCCACAGAATGCTTTCGTTGACTTTTGCCAAACCCTGTTATCTGCGGCCAACAGAAGGTGGTGGCGGCCATTCAGCCAGGATTTACCAAATGGACAGACATCCCGAGCCACTCGTTCTCTTCTCGACGCACTTAGTTCCGCAGTAAACTGATGTAACCTGCTGTTGAACTGTTTCTCGCCCTTGTACAAACTGTTTAATAATAAACTGACGTTCGGCTTCCGCAGGCAAGAACTGGGTGGCAACGTTGAGGACTTACTATATGGCCATCCCACCGGAGAGATAACCCAATGGAATACCCCAAGAGCAGACAGCAGTTAAAATGTAGGTCACTAGGTTGCGATCGGTTTTTTGCATATTTACCACCTTTGCTTTTTTTTTTATGTAACTTATTGAATAGTAAGTTTATCTAATGCAATTGTAAATAATGCTGGCATTTAAAAGGGGCTCACAAAATTGCTTCAGATTTAACAATTGGTTCCTATGAACCGGCTGACTAGGTGTTGACGCACGGCTGTGACCCCCTCACCGTTACTCTTCCCCACCCCCTCCCCCGTATCTTACAGATCAGCCGAGAAGGGCACACGGACGTGGCCTTCTCCACAGCCCACTGGGTAAACACGGCGAGGGGGAGTCGTCTAACACGTCCCTCGGTTTTCCTAGGGTGAGTCCGCGAAGTTCACAGGAAACAAGTCTCACAGCTGGTGGGTACCAGGCATACGGGTGGGTGGTAGGGAGGGCGGCAGAAGTAGGTCCGCAGTTTGAGTACCAGGTTTAGTCTTGTTTGATTTATTTGTATTCCAACTGCAAACCTCCTTTTGCCCGCCCCTGTATAGCAGGTTCACAACCAACTGGATACTTGCAGGCCACTGAGAGGCCTGCCGAATCTCGAGTTTGGGGCTGGCCAACCCTTCACACGCTCCCGGGCTCCCGAGACCCAGCACTGCCGTGACAATGCAGGAGAATGGGCGGCTCTCGCTCGTATCCTGCAAGGAAAGGCCGACTGTCCAGAAGGCCCCCTGGGAAGGCGACAGATCCCCAAGGGCTACTATTACTTGTGCTGACACTAACTCGTCTGTACACAGGAAGCTATGGGCAGACATTACCTCACCGTCTAATCTCACATCTAACCAGGTAACCAGAGTTACCCCCGGCTTCCCTTGTCTGGGATGAAATCGTGGCTCAAGAAGTCAGCAAGACTTACTGCTTTGCTGACACCCCGGGCGTCCCTGCGCCCAGCATGGACCTAGTAGTGGACACTTCGGGCTTTTCTGGAACCGTGAGCCCTGTTCGAAGCAGCTGTCTCCGCTGAAGTGACCCTGCTTGGGCGGTTTCAGCACTGCGACAAGCCCAAAAACATCCACGCAGGGACTTTAGCAAGGGTAAGAATCCCACGTGGGTCCTAGGAATTCGGCAAGTTGCCCATCTGGGACTGGAGTACATGGGAAGAATAGACGTAAATAATGAAAAACGAGAGCTCCTAAAGATACCCCGTTCCTGGAGGAGGTTAACCTCGACTTTCCACTGGTGGCTTCCAGTACAAACAGGACGTTCCCTTTGGAAAGACATCAACTTGATAAAGGCGCTAAAGCCAAGATACCTCATCTAGCCTTTGAGTGCAGGGGGATGCTGGGAGGGGCAAGACGGTGGCCGGCCACCGGTAGGACTGAAAAACGGGCCCCGATCTCCTTCCCGTTTCAGTAGCAGGCGAGCCTCTTCTCAGCAGCTGTGCAGCAGGGCGAGGGGGCCCCCCGGAAAGTCACCCCATCTGTCTCTAGGAACAGCCCCCCCCCCCATGTCCGACCACACCAACCAGTCTAAGTTTAACCAGCACCACTGTTGTGAGGTCAATTCCAACGTGGAGAAACTATAGTCGAGGCCAAGTCCCACTGGGCGGGAGGTTTGCAGGTCAAGGGGCGATCCTAGGCCCACCTCCCGATGCCACTTTGGCGCTCTGGTCCCAGCCGGGCCTGGAGGCTGTCCAAGGGAGGGATGCTCTCCCTATCCCTGAAGCCCCTCCCATGGGCTCTACCAGGGACACCTTCCTGCTGCAAGGGAAACCTTGGAAAGTGGTCTCCAAAAAGAGCATCAGAAGCGTGGTTGTATGTATACACAGAGGGCTAGGAGAGGAGCCCGCTAGTCTGAGTTCTGGAGGCACCAAACGGGGGTTTTTCTGCACTTGGCCTCAGTCAGTAGTTTCTGAAGGGATCCGTGTATGGGCCCCAGGGGCTGGAAGGAGCTGGTTTTCTTGTTTCTACACTCTGGGCTTCTATTATATCTTTCGAAGAAAGGGTTGCTGGACCGGCCGAGTGGAGGTGGGGGAATTGGAGAGCTGAACTCGTCTTCTGGAGTCTAAACTGATAGACGTGAGAATAACCTATTTCCTTGTGGCTACTCCGACTCCTTTGGATATGGCCTTGGTTGGTAAAAGGGTCAGAAGCAAAGAGACTAGATGTCGCCCTGGTTTAAACATGTATTTTAACCTTCATTCATTGATCCTAGCTTGTTTCTGAGGCCTTTTGGGAAAACAGCAAACACATAAAACGTCTTACAGCCACTGAAAACAAGGACTCCTCCTTCAGAAAGGTGTGTGAAGTGCTGGCGGAGGCCGAGGGGCCGGGGAGACCAGCCCGCAGCCCCCCGGGCCTGCTCAGTGACCTCCCAGCCAGAACCCTCCTAACTCGCCCTTCCGGTGCTGTGACCTGCGCTGGCCTGTTCTGACACGAGACTGAGTGGCCCAGTGAGTACCACACGGAGTGGGGTTTCAGACATTCGGAAGGGGCAGTGCTGCACCCCTGGGGTTGGCTGGTGTCAGGGACGTTACTTGTCCGTAAGTCTAGGGCACTGCGGTCTGGTCAGAGACTGCCCCTCCAAAGGGAACCCCAGCACCTCGGCCAACAAGGTGTAACTCCTGTGACAGCAACGTTTTAAATCCTCATAACGAGCTTATTCTGTACAATCAGTAAAGAAAGACACCAAACCATTTAAACATAATTTATGTACATTTATGGCTTTTACACAATAATAGCAAAGATTGTTCTTGTATCTGTAAGTACATCCCCATCATCAGGCACTTCTCGAGCACTGGGGCCGGGAAGGGGGGCCTGCGCCCTCACTGAAGGCCGGGAGCAGGATGCGGGAGGGCAGGACTGCGCCCCGACAGTGTGGGCGTGGCCCGTGTGGGCCACGCTGCCAGACCACACAGCGCCCTCCAGGAGGTGGCCCCAGGGCGCGCCCCCGGCTTTGTCCGTACAGATTCCACTGTTCTTTATTGAATGACGACTTGCAAACTAAAATCACGAGAGAAACTTCTCGTTTAAAAACCTGTTATGAATTAAGAACTCTGAAGAGCTGACTGTGAAAATGCCAGGGGGCTAAGGTAACAGCCCCAGCCGTGGAACGACCTGCACCGTCTCCCCACGGAGAACCTCTCCGCCTCAGGCACCCCCTCATCTCGGAGGCCCCACTGATCCGCTGTTCCCCGCAGTACAGCGCGCGCTGGTTGACCGAGACTGTGCATGTCTGTCCTAGCAGAGCCTCCCATGGCACATATGACCTACGTCCAGCCCATACGTCTGTATTACAGAAACACTTTATATTTAAAATATCTGAAGAGCTCTATGATACAATATGCTTTTAATAACAGTACAAACCGGGGGGAAAGAAATCAAACAAGGCTGCGTAGGTGATACCGTCTGCACATCTCACAAAGCAACCATGTACAGTAAAACTGGTGTATTAATTACTCCAGAAAGTCAGTCTTCGTACAGAAAAAGAAATCAGAGGTCACATAATGTTTTCAAAATATACAAGGGGCCTTCCGCTGGGGTTCGCTGTACCCCAGAGAGCCAGCTACCCAGGATTCATGTCAGGATTTTAACACGGAAAAGAAAAACTTGAAGGAAAAAAAGATATTCACACAGACGTAGGAATAAGAAAGACCTTCAGCAGCCACATGAAGCAGTAAGGTTGGGACAGCGATGTTGGCTGTGGCTGTCTCTGAGGCTCATGTGTGCGGGCAAGGGGTCAGGGTATCCTGGGGCACTTGTGTCACGGAAACCGAGTCAGCGGCACCAACGAGGTCTGTCCCGCAGGCGGGAGGCACCCCCGAGGGGGATGGCATTTGTCTGACCAGGTGCGCCTCGGAGCAGCCGGCGATGCAGAGGGGTGTTGAACAGCTCTTCAACACCACAGAAGTTGTTACAGTGGGAATCTTACCACAGAGCCAGCCCCGGGGAGGAAATCTATCAAGGACACTTCTGTTCTTGTTAAACATGTAGAAAAAACTAAGCCAACAGCAATGCAATTCACGGATGAGACCAAGCAAATGCCGTTTGGGGTAAGCACACGGAAATCAGATCAGAGCCTTCTCAAGCTGGCGAGAGGGACATTTTTTGTTCAGCTGTTCCTTTTATTGTGCTGACTTTGGGCATCCACATGACTTGAAAATACCAAAGGCTGCCAGTGGGACGCGAAGCCAATGAACCTGGTCTGTCAGTTACAGGTAAATGGAAAATATTACAACATAATGATCAGGATCATAGTTTAGGTTGCTAAAAGGCTAAAGAAATTCTTAACTTATACAAAGGCTTTTAAAATTCAAATATACAACTTAGAGCTGGTTTGTTGATTTTCAGATGAATCGCCCCAGGTTTTCAACAATCTTTCTGCCATTGGGTAGCAGCTTCTATGCTCATGAACACAGAGCAGCCCACTCGTCGCTGAAGTCCCACTTCTAAACCCCCCTGAAGGGCTCCCCACAGCGTTCTACGTATAATCTGCAGGACGGGAGGACAGAAGGAAAGGGGTGAGGGGTGGGGGCGGACGGGAGCCTTCAAGGCAAGGCTATAAAATCCCACCTCCACCCGGGCCAAAATAAGGGTGCAGAATTGCGAGGGAAAACTTCCAGTGCAGCTCGGCTTCAAGTGGTTGTTGATGGGAAGGCCCGTCTGGGAAAGGGGTCCTATTTCGGGTGCAGGCCTCCCCTCCTGCGTGACAGACACGACAAGGCCTCCCAGGAGGAGCTGCAGGGACAAGAGGCCACCATGCTATGTGGTGCGCCAAGTTCACGGGGGAACGGCAGATGTAATCCCTTTAAAATACGTACACAGAAACACACCAAGCTCTCCTGAACTTGAAACACAAAAATGTCCTTAACTATACATCCCTCTCCTGCCAAAACAGGGCCAGAAACACTGTGTAGGCAAGTACTAATTACAATGATTTTAAGATTAGTCACGAACATCACCACGCAGCATCCCCAAGTGTACAAACCAGTTAAGCACGTACAAAATTAGTACTAATCCAGTTAGAATACAAAATGAAAATTATGGATGCTGTCTCAAATATCTGGGAGTCTGTAAATTTACAGGCAGTATATTATATAACAAAGTAGACTCTAGTTTTAAGAAAACATTACAGTTCAGCATCTATTCCAAAAATGATCAAGTCCCAACAGTAACATCAAAAATCATTTATCTGGAAATTAGAACCATTCGTATGTTTGTACAAATTTGCAAATAACAAAATAAACAAACAAAAAAAAATAGAAAAGACCTGTACAAGGCTGGCATTTACTCTGTTTTTTTCCCCCAAAGAGTCTGACAAGTCCACTGACTCAGCAGATCGCTGACAGGGTGTTGCATCTCGTGTGAGTGACCGGGCAGCATGAGCAAGTCCGAAGCTGCACCGCGGAGGTGCTGGGCGGAGGGCTTGGTTCTCGGGGATTCGTCAGTTCGGCAGAACACAGGACGCACAAAAGTTTAACTTATTAAGGACACAAGACCATCACAGTATTACAAAAAAAAAAAAAAAAGAGTATAAACTTTCCTTGGACCGAATGGCTATTTAAAAAACAAAACACACACAAAGACAATCCTGTAGCTACTGCTTATATACAAAACTTGAGAGCACACAGGATCCGCGAGCCTGGTCTGCAGTCGCTCGGGGCAGCGAGTTTGGCACTTGATTGTAATGGAATCTCCAACGCCATGGCCCTTATCTGCAGCAGCGCAGAACTGCGAACACTGGGCAAACATCCTGCACAGGAAAAGTGTCTTCGCTGCCAAGTCTGACGAAGGGAAAAAAAAAGTTTTTGTTTTTTTGAATCAAGAAAACGAAAAGATGGGGTGACGGACATCTTTGGACTTCTTCTCAGTTCCTGCTGTCAGACAATCTGAAGTACTTTTAAATGCAGCCTAAGAGGAGAAAAAACACACACGCCATAAAAACATAGCCAGATTAAAGTCAATTCAACTTCACATGTCAGAGTGACAGACAGACATTGGCAGTAGGCAGAGCTCTCTCAAACAGCTCTGAAATCATCCGTGGGGGGATGGGAGCTTTCACTTACAAAAAAAACCCTTCAGCATTTGATTTCCATCACGTGTACTCATTTAGTGAAGAGCTACTACAAAGATGCAGCCATCTAAGTGTCAAAGAAAATCTTTAACGCGGTTACAGGAAGGCTCCACGTTTCAACCGGAAGGAAAGTGCATAAGCTGTAACAAGGGTGGAGACTAAGTAACACAAGCTGCCCCGCTGCACGAGGCGGCCAGCTGACGCCCGAAGAGCCCTAGTCCTGGGAGACACAGGGGGGTCAGGTGCCCCTCCCCTCACTCAGGTTCGCACTGCGCGTCTTGGGCGATTATTGGGGCGACCTTACCTGCTTGCCGGCTCGCTCCTAGCCGGACACCCAGCTGTGCGTCGTCGTCTTGACGCCGTGCGGGAAGCTTTGGTTGGGCAGCACGCTGTCGAAGTTGAAGTCCAGCGTGTCCCCGTCCATGAGGTCGTTCCGGATGATGGACTCCATGTCGCAGTCCAAGCGCTCGATGAACATGCCGTCCAGGTCGCTCGGCAGCTTCTCCTGGTGGAGCACGCCCATCCTGCCGTAGCCGTTGCAGCTGCTCCCCGAGGAGTAGCCCCCCAGGGCGCTCATCTGCATGGCGTGGGGCAGAGGCACTTGCAGAGCGGTCTTTGCCGGGGCCAAGCGGCTCATGCCCGAGCTGTGGGGCATGGCGCTCACCGCGTGGGGCAAGGCGCGCCCGTTGACTACGGACGCCGGCTGAGCGTGTCCCGGGTGGGTGTGGGAGCTGGGGTTCATCATTTTGTTGTGAGATGCCTGGCTGCCATAGGCTGGCATGACCGAATTAGGGCCCATGAGCACATTCTGGCTGAGGACCCGACTGTTAGGCTGGGCCACCCCGGGATCAACGGGTGCCATGATGTCATTATGGGGAGGAGAGTCGGAGGTAAGCAGCTCCTTCAGGAGCCCTGGCGCGCAGGTGTACTGACTGAGCCCGCCGTAGGCCGCCTTGCTGTCCGGAAGCGTCTGCATTGCCATCTGGGGCAAGGGGCTCATGCTGGACTGGCCGTAGGTGTACTTCTGGTAGTTTGGGCTCGGCGAGTTCAGGCTGGTGCTGGGCGGGGCGAACGAGTAGCAGGGGGCCTGCTGCATCATGGTGCCGGGGGAGGACTGGGTGGAGGCGGTCAAGGACGTCGGTGGCGAGAGGAGGTTGAGGTTGTCTAAGAGGTTCTCCATGTTCTCGGGACTGCTGATCTCCGACAGACTGGGCAGAGTGGAAGCCATCTTCGCTGCGGACGGCGGGTACACCATCGGATGCACGTCCCCGTCTCCGAGATCGTCCTGTTCCGTCATGATGGGGGACAGCCGCCCACTGATGGTGCTCGCGTTGGAGCTGGTGCGTGGGCGGAACGTACTCCAGTTATCAAAGTCGTCGTTGCTGTGAGAGCCCGGGCTGGCGGGCCACTTGGAGAACTGAGACCCCGGGCTGTCCCCGGCACCCTCCGGGCCAGACTGGAGGGAGGCTTTCTTCTTGGCGGCCCGGCCCCGGCTCTTGGAGAATTTACTGTTGTTGTCCATGGACGCCGCTCTCCTCCGGGGGGACTTGCCACTCTTGCCCCCCTCGGGGTTGAGCATCCACCATGAACTCTTTCCGGTCCCTTCATTCTGCACACGGATGAACTTGCTGTGCAGGGACAGATTGTGACGAATGGAATTCTGGAAAGCAAAGCATCGTGTTACACATACGGCACTTCTCTGGCTCCCTGGGATTTCACCCCACATAGTCAGGGGGGCCCTGAACCCCCAGACCGGTGCGGGGAAAACAGTGTCTGTATCCTCACGTGGGGACAAAATTAGTACACATTATTCAAAGCCTCTCTCCGTCCCATCACCCCCAACACTGCGCCGACTCTCTCCAGACAGCGCGTGCCGTTTGCTGGGGTAGGAAGCGCCGCAGTGCTGGGCCCACAGGACGGCAGACAGGCAAGGAGACAGCGCAGCACATGGTCTCGGTCAGCAATTAAAAGCCCGAAAACTCTAAGACTCAGATTCGCTCATACCCTTAAACGTCGATTAGGCAAATACAAATGAGTAAGGAAAACCTGGGTCATTTTTTCTAAGTTTAGAAAACTGAAATTCCTCCCAACAGAAGAAAAAAATTAGATTCGGGTGTTATTTGCCACCCCTCCCCCCCCAAATCACCAGTGGTATGCACCAACTAACCCACGGACACAGCCTCAGAGGTCACCCCCACCCGGGAGGGGAGAGGGTGACAGGACCAGGGCACAGGTGCCGGTGCGGCTGCAGGGTTGTGCTGGGCTGCGAGAGCCCCGGTACATTCGTAGAGAAAAGTCTCCTTTTTTTTTGAGCGTTCAGGTGGCTCTGCTACCCACTGGCTCCATAACCTCACCCAACTACTTGGCCCCTATGCGCCTTAAGTCTCCTACATGTACCAGAGAGAAGCGCGTAGCTGCATAGGGCTATTGCACAGATTCAATGAGGTACCGAGTTTGAAAGGCTCCGCGATGTCGGACACATGGCAAGACTCAGTGACAAGAATGTATTAGATCCCAACTTCGGGGACACACGTGGCTAAGCCCCATTTCCTTCCTCCCATTCACCGGGATGTGTGTGCGTGGAGCTTAGAGGTTCTGTGAACGCAAACCCACCACTCCGAACACACACTGAAGTGGGCTGGGAACAGTCTCAAGTTCCAGTAGAAGCAGCAAAAGCACGCTGCCCTCAAGGAAGCCCTGATCTGACCCGCCCCCCATGCAGAGCCTCCGGGACTCTCCGGAGAAGCAGTCGGCCCGAGACAGAGGACCTTGCCTCGAGAAGCTCCCCCAGCCCAGGGCGGGGCACGTCGTACTGCCCCCACCCGCTCACTGAGCAGTGTCTGCAGTCAGGCCCCGAGACCCCAGGTCCAGGAGGGGGCTCTCTGGGGTCCTGGGCCTCTGGGAGCAGGACGAGCGCTCGGCCCCACACTTCCCCGGCTTCCTCTGCCAAGTGAGTGCAAGGCTCAGCTGGCCGACCCCCTGGACCCGTCGCCCCTGTCCCCGACCACAGACAGGCCCTGGCTGGGTTTGTGGTCACCCGGGGACACAGCCACAGCGCCCACATCCTCATGCCATCGACGTGCCAGTCGCTGCACCAGGACAGAGGCTGGGGGAGGGGGGGCTCCAGGAAGACCCAAAGCGCACGTTCTGTCCCATGAAAAGAAGGAAGAAAACAGAACGGGGGAGGGGCGGGGGAATCTCACTTTCTGGAAGGATTTAAAGGTTAGAGCGAGGCTAGACAGCCAAGGCCGAGAAATCCACATTTCAAAACCCCCTCTGACGCCCTGTACTGCGCTCCCGAGGGTTGCAACATGGCAGCCACGCCAGCCCTCAGCCAGGGCTCGGGGGGGGGGGGGGGCGCAGGCTGGGCCCCAAACCGGGTCTCCTGCCTGGACGTGGGCAGGTGGGTCAGGTGAACGACAGCGTTCCTCTGTTCCCAGACCGTCCTCTCCGTCCACCTCTGGGTCTGCCCCCAAACTCCAGACTCCAACAGAGGCCGAGCACCGCATCTCCCTCCTGCACTATTCTATTCCCATGTTTCTACCCAACAGGAAGGTTTTATTTACACACACACACACTCTCACAGTCACAGTCTCATCTGCTGGGCCAACCAACACCAGCACAGCAAGTTCCAAATCTCCCCTTAAAGAAGCCAGCCTGGCCCCAGGGTAGAGACCAGGACAGGGTTGGTACTCAGACCCGCCTGTGTGTGCGCCGAGCCTTCCTACGATGCGCCAGCGCGACTACCTTGTTCTCAGAACCCAACAGACACACAGAGAAGCCATGGTGAGGAAATTTCTAGAGAAAAGGAAGTCGGACTCCAGTGCCTGCCTGTTCAGAGAATGATCCCGGGAGGATCTCCCTGGGTGGCAGCTTTCTGGCTGTCCCCACTGACATGGGGAGGCGGTGGGGCTGCACGGCGTTCATAATTAGATCATCTGCAACTGCGACTGGGGGGACATTTTTAATAACACGGCTAAGGCTCAGTGACGAAATCTTTAATAAAACTCAAGAAGCGCACGCTCGCTCAGATGGGACACGCGTTAACTCACTAATTAGACTCACACAAAAAAGAGAAAAGGTCCCAAAGCAACCCCTTACTTATCAAAACATCTTGCCACATATTTTTCTGAGAGGACATTTGAGGTCGCTCTTTGAGAAACAGAGCTGTCTTCTAACTTTGCCAACAATTAAAAAAGTTTTTTTCCGAACAGGAAAAGGTTTTCTGTGCAGGGCTTGTTACATAAATTCCTGTTTTCCACACAGCCAGCGGGACATTAAAGAAGCTACGATTTCCAGGGGAGTGGGGGCAGGGGAGCTGAATAGGTGAGCCTTGTAAGAACCGCATGTCACCGTGTAATGATGTCATGTCTGCAGGTCTCTGGGGGCTGGAGGAAAGCGTGCTTCACCCACGGAGCCACGCGGCAGAGCCACACGCACGATCAGTGCGCCGAGAGAGTCGGTTCTCGAACTGTCGTGACTATTTCCCGCGGAAAAGGGCAGGTGTGAGGACAGGGAACTCACGCCCTGCAAACCACTCCCCCGAACCCCGAATTTCTGCGTGACCCCGGGGCAGCGAGTTTCCTCTCCCCCAGCTGCGCCGCCCTGCGGCCCTGGCTTCCTCTCCCCCAGACGCCCCTCCCTCGGCAGCCTGCACACCTGGCCCCAGCACGTGGCGCAGTGTGTTCTTCTTGGGAAGCCCGGTCCAGTGAGCTCCAGGGGTCACGTGGGGGAAGGGGGATCCTGGACATGACACCGCCTGCTTGTCCTGCCTGCGCGGCTGGCTGTTTCTGACTCTCGGATGCTCCGCTTTGTGTGCCCTGCAGACCAGAGTCTGAGCTGGGGGTGAGGGGCTCAGGTTTGCTCTTACGTCCTAGTCTCGATCCCCTGACATGCTCTGCACACAAGACACAGTCACTGGCTATTTGTTGGCTGACATCCCAGCATTATGGGGAAGATGTAATGCCTCACACAGCTTCCCCCGCCCCCATGTGCCAAGTCGACCCCCTTTCCACTGCGTGTCTAAAAGGACAGAAGGGGGTCCACTTGGCATGGGAGGGATGAGACACACGTCTGCCCTCCAGGTGTTTTATGATCTACCCAGGGAGAGGGTGGGTTGGCGAAGTGCGTGCTCAAGACCCAACGGCCACAGGAAGGGCTATCCGGGAGCACCAAGTTCTTCCCACCAAGGTCCCCCGGCACTCCTGCCAACTCCGGTCCCAGTCCCAGGGTCCCTTTCCTTCCAGGAGCCCTTCCAGCTCACCCTACAGCTCCTAATGCAGGACCTTTGTCACTCACCAGAATTACGACTGCTCTGCCTGGTCCCGGGGACACGCCTGCACCCTGCACATGTGTCCTCACAGTCCCCACCGGGAAGGCTCCCAGCCCCTGGTGAATGGATCGGCAGGCCCTGAACGTACGGGGCTGTTGTAAAGACCGGATGAGACAGCACGTGTTAGGTGCTCACCTCAATCAGCGTGAGCGGCCTTGTTACCATGAGCACCATAGCGGCTACGAAGTGCGAGTCTCTACTTTAGAGATTTACCTGTATCACCAACAGGAGCCCCACTTCTTTACACTCGTACCTTACGCTGTGCCTGCCAGTATGAGAGGCTTTCCCGTGTGTTTCTAGGAGAGCAGACCAGTTTGGGTGACAGTTGAGGGGTCATCTCTTGGAGGCTGCGCACAGACGTGGCTCAGGGACCCAGCGACTGAGGCTGGCCTGCGCCCACACTTGCCAGCCAGCACCATCGAAGCCTTGTTACGGTGCCACTGCCATGCCCCATGTGCAGGCCCCACGCCCAGCAGTGGGTTCTGGCCGCAGCCACCGCGGGAAGAAGCAGCACAAATCAGGGCAGAGCCACGTCGGCAGGCCCCCACCAGCAGCTCTGCGGGTCGACCCCTTGCCCAGCTAGAGAAGCCGGCCCACAGAGACCCAGGGGGACAGAGACAGAGACCGCCCCTCCCAGGACACGCTGAGCAACCCCCTCTGCCTACAGCAATGATCGGACAGCCACTCAAGTGTGAGAAGAAGTCTTCATACCTTTTGTTTACTCATTTAAAAGAAAAACCTGCATTTCCAAGTTTGTCATAATATACACAGTAAATTGGTAGAGTACAATGAATACATGTGCTGTCAGAAGGGTATACAACTTTTCCAACACACTGCAGACGACCAGTCTATCACAGTCGACTTCTAGAAGACGAGGCCCCAACCCAGAAAACCAAGGGGGCACAACTAACCCTCGAGCGCAGGCCAACAACCTCCTGGTTGGGGAAATGGTCCGGTCGAGTCCGGGGCTTGCCCCCTTGCCCCCTCCCTACTACTCTGGGCCTCCCCGGACAACCCCCCCACGCCCCGAGCTGCAGCGAGGCTCCACTGGCCTGCCCATCCCCGTGCGTGGACCCCGCCACCCCTCGGCAGTCCTAAGATGACTCTGCTCTGTGTTTAACCTAAATAACACAGAACCAGCAGCTTTCCCTGAACACATCCTGCTCACGGACCCCTGGCCCTCGCACTTTATACCTGTAGTTGACTCACTGCCTTCAACACATGATCTCATTCCATCCTTGGAGGATCCCCATTTACAGCAGGTGTTACTGGCCCAGTTTCAGAAGAGGGGAACTGAGGCTAGGGCTCAGACCCGGGTCCGCAGGTGG